TATAGAACCCGGCACATGGTAGCCACTTGAAAACGAAATAAAACACACATCGCCATTTCCCTCTCTCTCATTTCTTTTTCCACCCATTCTCAGTCATAAGAGTTCTGTCTTGACAAGTTCCTTCAGCAAGTGGATCCTGTACAGGAAGATTCCACTTTGTTGCAGAGCTGGAAGTGAAATTGTGTTTGTTTCCTGGGAGTTTCTGCTGTTGTGCCCAACTGAGGGAAGGAGGGGCAACAGAGGGGTAGACAGGATTGTATGAGATTGATGCAGGAGACCATGTGGAATCAAGGAAGCTCAGGGAGAACTGGACAAAGTGTCCATTTGGCAGTCGGAATCCCAATGGCCTGGGCAGCACCATTGCTTCTTATTCTGTGAAATCTTTTCTGTCTATTTATACCAAAACCCAGCCATGACTTTTTTGTTTTCTGAAACCCTACAGCACAGATTAAGTTGCACTTCATTTTATATGATCTTTTTCATTTTTCTAGTTAGCCAGTTAATGTTAATCTTTTCTCCCTCTTGTTAGGCTAAAAATTCCTTGAGCCTGAAACACAGTTTCTGATTATTTATACTTTTATTCATACAGAATCAAATAATGAACTGTAGATCAATAAAGAATCTGAACTCCAGGATCAGTGATAAATTTTAATGGAATTATCCACAGTTTTGGGTTCTTCACTCCTCCAGTTAGTATAAATAATCAAGAGTTTACCATAGTGCTAAAGAGTAGATGTTAAGGAAACAGGAGGAAGAGCAGAGCAGAAATTCCCAGTCTTTCTGAAACATGTAATTGAAGTGGGCAGCATTCATAGCTGCCTGGGTTTTATTCAGTGTGTGTAATTACTGCACACACACTAATTTCTCAACACTATTTGATAACAACATAACATGACTTTACTAGTATATAAAATCCTTTACTTGAGGTCAATCCTGGAAAAATCTCGAAAGAATGGTTATTTAAGTTAATAATTCTTTCTCTCTCTTTAGAATGATTCTATTTTCCTCTTTTTTGTCTTCCACCTCTATAGCCTCCATCCCTTCTACATTGATCTCCTACATTATTACCTTTACTTCCCTCCTAATCACCCCTTCTTGACCCTCCAATTTCTTCTATACCCTACTTTTCTAAAAACATAACTTGCAATGACACTCAGAATTTTTGAAACATTCCTCTTTGCTCACAGTAGGAAGTCTGATCCCCTGAGCCCAGTAGCCAATGCTCTACTTGCTCTAATCTCAATCTGCCTATCAGGATTTATTTTCCATTATTTTGCTACACAAACCTGCCTTAGTCAATCAGGGTGACTCTCTTTTTTTTTTAATATACCCTATGCCATCTTTCCCACTTAGCTTCTTTCTTGAATGGCTATACTTTTCTGTCTCTTGAAATCCTTCAAAGCCCAGTTCAGATCTCATTCTTTATTTTACACTTTTCATCACCGCTTAAGTCTACTAAACCCATTTCCAACTTCTCTGAACTTCTAATCATTCCCTTCTTATACTACTCATTTGATGTTATTATGTATGAACTTTTAAAATATTGTATTTGAATTTAAAATGTATGTGTGAGAAACTAGAGCAAAAACCTAGCACCAAGAATACATAAGCCTTAATTGGGTTAATGGATTATTGATAGATTATTAATAATTAAGTATATGCATCCAGGTGTGTGTGCCCAAGGATGACTTGACAAAAGACCTGATGCATTTTGAAGGGAGAAAGGATGAGGGATTTATAGGGAATTTATTTTGTTTCCTAAACTTCTATATCCTATGCCATTGACATCAGTAGTAAGGTGATAACAGGGAAACAGAAAGACCAGGAAGAGAAAAAAAAAAAAACAGGAGGAAGAGCAGGGCAGAAATTTCCAGTCTTTCTGAGACATGTATTTCAAGTGGGCAGCATTCACAGCTGCCTAGGTTTTATCTGAAGCTGCTAAGAGGTGCCCATTAAAAAAATATACCGGGCCGGGCACAGTCACCTATGCCTGTGGTCTCATTGCTTTGGGAGGTCAATGCAGGAGGATCACTTGAGGCCAGAAGTTCAAGACTAGCCTAGGCAACATAGTGAGAATTCATCTCTACAACAACAACAACAACAACAAAAAGCCAGTTGTGGTGGCACATGCCTATAATCCCAGCCACTAGGGAGGCTGAGGGGAGAGATTTCTTGAACCCAAAAGTCTGAGACTGCAGTAAGCATTGATCATACCACTGCACTCCATCCTGGGCAACAGAGTGAGACTCTGATTCTATGTATCTGTATAATATATATATGTATATACATATTTAGATACAGATGGATAAATATAGATACACACACACCCAAACTACAAATGTCTAAAATGTCATAATTCATTTGAATTTGGTGTTGATCCCTGTTGAATGAAATTACTCTGAGGATAGATCCTATTGGTTCATCTCAGTTATACTTTTTTCTGCAAGATATTTTTAATTAGAAAAGAGGAAGTTTGGTGAGGAAGGGGAGAAAAACCACTGAAAAGGAAGGAAAAGACAATGAAACCTAAGGAGAGGGATAGGAAAAGGACTCGGAATTCAGAAAATAGATGTAGGAACCTAAAGGATGCATTTCATCCACTTCAGAGTTTTGCCCAGAAAATGATGCTACCAAGACCCAACAAATCACATGCTAGGGACCACCTACCTGTTCCTGTTAAGTTTCTATTCAGATGCTGAGGACTCTGTTTACCTGGTGACACCCAAAATTATATGGAGACAACAATGACAACAGAATTACCACAGAGAACTAGAAAATAAAACTCAGCTGAAAAACAGCCACCTAAGATGGAAGAAGCCATGAGATGAGTAAGCGTTGCCTGCTCACAAGGTTGCAAACTGTCCTTCACTTATGATTATCCCCCACCTCCCCCTCCTAAATCTAATCAATCACATAGAACTTGATGGTTACAAGAGACAGAGCTAACAACTAGCATAAGTGCACCTTCTTCTTTGATATGACCTTGAACTAAGTCCAAATGAGCAATGAACAGCTGAAGTCTCTCAACTGAAAAGATCAGGACAGAGAGTGCTCTCCAAAGCCTGTGACCCACTCATGCCTGCTCTAGGTCACTGCATGAGTCTCTAGCTCTCACATACAGGATTGAAATGCCATAGCTCAGAATTAGTGGCAACATAATCTGGCCTTTATTTGCTAATCGCCTCTTATTTCTTACTACCTCACAATACAAATTCTCCCCTCCAACAATGGCTATAATATAGCCATTTTCTATACTACCTAAGAAATAGAATTATAGACTAATAGACTTGGAAAGAACTTGAAACGTTATCTAATTCAAGATCCTTGCTTTACAGACAAGGAAACTAATGAATAGAGAAGAAGAGGACTTCATGAAATCCCCAGAATTAGAAGCCTCTCTTTCTCTTCCTTCTCCTTCCAGCTGTAAGGATACTACGCCTATAGCTGAATGTGGGGAAACTAAGCAGTAAGTCCAATTGTAAGAACTAAAAAGAGAAAAGAGTTAGTAGTCCGGCTCAAAGTCCACTCTGTTCCTTCTGGAGATGCAAAGAGGAGATCACTGAGCTCTGAGAGTCGCAGTCCCTTCCTGGGAAATCCTTATCTGTGTCTCTCTAAAGTCTTTAAGGGAAATGGTTTCAGACCAGTCAGGCTCCTTTCTTTATTTGAAGCCAAAAAGGGAGCTGCTGAACAGAAACAGATGCTACTTGAGTTGTATATGCTATCTTTAAAAAAAACGCTAAGAGGTGACCTCTGTTGCTTCTACAGCTAGCAGTAGGGCTAGGATTAGGCTGAGGTTAATGAGACACTCACTCTAAGACCAAAATTTAAGAGGGTGCCAAAAAAACTCAATAATCAAGATAATATTTTAACGCAACAATTTTAGAAAATATTTAATTAATTAACTTATTTATTTATTTTTGAGACAGAGTCTTGCTCTGTTGCCCAGGCTGGAGTGCAATGGCATGATCTCGGCTCACTGCAACCTCCACCTCCCAGGTTCAAGCGCTCCTCCTGTGTCAGCTTCCCAAGTAGCTGGGGTTACAGGCATGCACCACCACACCCGACCAACTTTTGTATTTTTAGTGGAGACGAGGTTTCGCCATGTTGGCCAGGCTGGTCTCAAACCCTTGACCTCAAGTGATCCACCTGCCTCAGCCTCCCAAAGTGCTGGGATTACAGGTGTGAGCCAACGCACCTGGCCAGAAAATAAATTTAATGTAAAATAATCCCTGATGAACAAATGTTAAAACTGTAAATACCAGGATCTGACCCTGCACTGCATGTTACTCATATAACTCATCTGACCCTAATCTTAGCCTTGTCAGATTGGATCTTCAAAATTTTGTGATAGATATTTTGAGCATCCTAGATTTTTGCATTAAGTTTGATTTTTTTTAAAATACTGAAATCAAGCCTGGGCGCGGTGGCTCACACCTGTAATCCCAGCACTTTGAGAGGCCGAGGTGGGCGAATCACCTGAGTTCGGGAGCTTGAGACCAGCCTGACCAACATGGAGAAACCCCATCTCTACTAAAAATACAAAATCAGCCGGGCACAGTGGCACACGCCTGTGATCCCAGCTGCTTGGTAGGCTGAGGCAGGAGAATCGCTTGAACCCGGGAGGCGGAGGTTGCGGTGAGCCGAGATCACGCCATCGTACTCCTGCCTGGTCAACAAGAAAAAGAAAAAGAAAATACTGAAATCGGCTGGGAGCGGTGGCTCAAGCCTGTAATCCCAGCACTTTGGGAGGCCGAGACGGGCGGATCACGAGGTCAGGAGATCGAGACCTTCCTGGCTAACACAGTGAAACCCCGTCTCTATTAAGAAATACAAAAAACTAGCCGGGCGAGGTGGCGGGCGCCTGTAGTCCCAGCTACTCGGGAGGCTGAGGCAGGAGAATGGCGTGAACCCGGGAGGCGGAGCTTGCAGTGAGCTGAGATCCGGTCACTGCACTCCAGCCTGGGTGACAGAGGGAAACTCCGTCTCAAAAAAAAAAAAAAAAGGAAAAAGAAGAAAGAAATAACTGAAATCAAATATATTCATCTAGGTTACTAGGTTTTTGGTCTTTTGGTGCCCTCTTAAATTTTGCATCTGAAGTGAGTGGCTCATTCACTTTATCTTAACCTCAGTCTTGTCTCTCATCAAACGACCCAGAGATAAGGGACAAAAAATTGAAACACATGTAGAATTTATGGTTTAATTCAATAAAGATTCTTTTATTGAAGCAGAATAAAACAATCCCAACTAAGCAATACAGGAAGGATAAATTAATTACCAGTGGCTTCCCCTTCCACTCAAGGCATTGCCCCATGTCCATGGTTCAGGTCTGCCTCAGGCACAGCCAGCTCCAATGCCATTGAGAGAAGAGATCTCAGACTCGGGAGCTGATCTTGAGTTATTTAACATAGCCCAGGAAAGTATCTGGCCTCAAGTCATCACAAGTGACAAGAACAAACCCCTCTGTGGTGAAATAGTGGTACCTGCAGGCAGGGTATCTTGTGCCCTCAGTGAGCTGACAGACTGTCATTTTGAACTTTGTCTCACTCTGAAAGCAGAAAATGGCCGAAAGGTTTTGGCAAGCTACCTTGTTGGGAGAAGTGCAAATACCATTGATTTTTCGAGGCCTCTCATGGATGAAGACGTGCTCCTTTTTACAAGTGTGGTCAGGTTCCCTGATGACTCTTTGTATGATCATGTGGTTGCAGTACCTTGCAGGAACGGGAACATCATTCTGAGGGTAGTCCACATGCAAGTGTTCTAAGGTTGACGTCACTACTTCATCGTTCACCTCATTTTCCCAGAACAGAAGCACCAAGAAAATTATCACCATTATTATCATCAGAGGTAAGAGTGACTTCACATCTTTGGGTTTAACTGCTGTTGAGTAAGGGAAGATAGAAAGTAGCAAAGAACAGTCAGTTTCCTCCTGCTGCAACCCCTGGCTGCTCCCCCATCCTTGGAATATTTTATTCCCTTCACTCCACTAATTAAAATCACACTGACCTTGCAAGATCCAGCTGGAGGCATAGTTCCCCAAGAAAGCCTTTTCTGACCATGTCAGCTCTCAGAGTTTGGTATTGAGCAGTTCTCTAAATTATTCCTGTTGTATTTGTTTTGTTTCTACAAGTTCTTTGACAGCATCTTTGACCACATCTCCTAGTTCTCAAATCCTTCAAAGTGCTCAGCACAGAGCTGGACATATAGAAGGTGGTCAAGGTTATTCATATTGCTGAATAACCTTCTTTCCCGTAATTTTCTCAACCTTCACTCCACCCAATTGCACATGATTTTAGTACCTTCTACTCATCTATTCTTCCCAGTTCCTTCCAAGTCCCTCCCTCTGTCAGTCCTGCTTCGCTCTGTGCTAGCTCCTCTCACCTGTCATTTTTCTGGTCGTTCTCACAGGTAACATAGCCTTTTGATCATGGATTTGAGAAAATCGCTTGTGTCTTGCTGTTCCCTGACAATAACTGATAGAGAGCCTGTTGAATGTGGGGAGGGCCAAAGCAGAAAAAGGGAGGGACCTGCAGAGGGTGTGCTTGGGCACCGCTGGGGAGGAAGAGAAGTTACCTTCAGCAAGAGAGTCAGGTAAGGCAGGTCCCGAATGTGTCCTCATTAAACAAGTGAGGACTTTTCAGAACATTTAGTGATGGCCAGTGTGTACCAGCCACAGTACTGTCTCCTTTCTAAATTTTCAATCAGTCCTTATGACAAATATATGAAATTTTTCATTTCATTGACAAATAAATGAGTTGCAGAAAGGTTAAGGTGGAGATGGGAAGTGAGAAGGAAAGCAAGAGTCCCATCCTGCCAGTGCCAAACACTTGAATTTCAGTTTTAGCAAAATTCATTTCCATGTGGTGTCTAGTACAGGACAAAAACAATTCCCTAGTAATAACATTAATCTTGATAAATACCTGGGCTCCTGAGGAGTATGGAGAGAGTTTCCAAACTGCTGAACGGTAGAATCAACGGGAGATTTAAAAAAATATTGGCTTCCACCTTGATACATTCTGCTTTAATTGATATTGTGTGTGATCTGGGTTGGGGACTCTTAAAGGATCCCCAAGTGATTCTAATATATAGCAAAACTTGGGAACAACTGAACCATGGTATACATGGGAAACCTACATGGGAGATTAGTGGATAAGGGTTTAGTAAAAAGATAGTGGTTCAAAGTGTTGAGACCAGAGAATTCTTTTTGTTGCTATCATCTCCCAGTGAGTTGATATAGGAATGGGCAAATGGACTTAGTTTTACTACTTCATGCCCTGAAGTCATTTCTCTTTTGGAGAGACAGGTACAAAATCTCCTCTGTGCATATCTGTGTCTTTCTAATTGGCAGGAAGAAAATGATTGCTGAGTAAAAAATTATCTAGGAAAAACAGAATACTGGAGAAGCCTTCAAAAATGCTTCTCTCTCTATACAAAAACGAAAGCCAAACTTCAAATTGTGACAATGAGCAACCAGGAGAATATATTTACTTTCCAAAAATGTCCATTCTGGGTGTCCTTTCAGAATTCGAACTATCCTGTTTTGGATACGTGTTACCCAATGTCACAAAGATATAAGTGCATGCTTAATTTTTGACACAATTTTCAATTAACAAAATTTGATTTTGTACATCTTGCAGAAACATTTCCAATGTATACAGAGAAGTATATCTACGTACTGTAATGCGTTCATTATTTCCTGCCAGAACTTCCAAGTAGCTGAAGTACAGATACTTCACTAAGTGTACAGGCAGAGAAGCAATCCCTGTTACAAAGATTTTCCCCAAAGAAGCCAACTAAACCTATCCCTAGAGTATTACACTGCAAAAGGAGTTGAGACTGAGTCCAAATGTTAACTAGTGTGGCAGCCTAGAAGAAAATATTTGTAATGCCTAAGACCCCATAAGGATTAGCATCTACATATAAGGAACTCCTTCCTGTCAGCCCTAAAAAGACAAGAAACCCCTGGGGAGAAAAAATTGTCAGAGAAAAGCCAATTTCAGAAGATGAAGTCAAAATGGGTAAGAAGCAATGCTCCACTTCATTAGTAAGCAAAGAAATGAAAGCTAAAATAACAAAAGAAATAGTTTATAACCATCAGATTATCACAAATGGTTATCAAGAATTAGAAAAACAGATAATATCAAGTGCTGGTAAAAACATTGCTGGGCATAAAAATTGGCGTGGCAATACTAGAAAGTAATCTGAAAATGCTTGGTAAAATTAAGGGTTTTTGACCTGAGACCTTTTAATCCCACTCCTGGGTGTAGACTCTAACAAAATATCACAGTATTGCTTCTATATCAAATTAAAACTAATTGAGAATGGGCACAATAGCTAATGCCTGTAATCCCAGCACTTTGGGAGGCTGAGGCAGGCAGATCGATTGAGGCCAGGAGTTTGAGACCAGCCTGGGCAACATGGTGAAACCCCATCTCTATAAAAACACAAAAATTAGTGGGGTGTGGTGGTGTGCACGCCTGTAGTCCCAGCTACTTGGGAGGCTGAGGTGGGAGGATCACCTGAACCCAGGAGGTAGAGGCTGCAGTGAGCCAAGATTGTGCCACTGCACTCCAGCCTGGGTGACAGAGTGAGATTCTATCCCCCACCAAAAAGAAAGAAAGAAAGAAAGAAAGAAAGAAAGAAAGAAAGAAAGAAAGAAAGAAAGAAAGAAAGAAAGAAAGAAAGAAAGAAAGAAAGAAAGAAAAATTAAATCTAATTCTGAGTCTTTTGGCTTAGAATTAATTCTCACTGGGGAGAATTTCAACTCATGCCATTATAAAGTGCCCTTTTCCTCCCCAGATTTCCAAGGGAATCTGGACAGCGTATTGTTCTTATTCCTTCTTTTTTCTGTGGCACCTGTAGTGGCCAACGGCATTAACTAAGGGACAAACATTCTCATTCACTTCTCTGGTAAAAATACCTAGAATACAGAGTTCAGATCCAGAATCTTGACCCTTTGTTGTAGTAAGACGTGACTTTTTTCAAACACCTACTATATAAAGGATTTTTGTCACCTATTGTAACGGTCTTTTATCATTCACGTATTATTTAATTCAACATATATTTATTAAACACTACCTGTGCCAGGCACTCTTCGAGGCCCTTGGGACACACCAGTGAAAAGACAAATGTCCCTGTCCCCACTACTGGCTCTAATCAGTACCTTAATATGAAAATGGGTAATGAAAATAGAAGAACTGCACATTTATTCTGCCATTCCTTCAGGAACTACATTCCTGGGCAACCAAATCACTTCCATGTGCTGTGGAAAAGCTCTTCTTTAGAGAACAATGACAACGAATAAATATGTAAAGAATAATAAAATGAGAAAATCGCCTTTTTATAATCATTAATGAAATTATTAAGCCAGGCAAAAAGCATTTGCTGAGTGGTAAAATTATTAAAAGAGAGCCTATACAAGGCTGGGCACAGTGGCTCACGCCTGTAATCCCAGCACTTTGGGAGGCTGAAGCAGGCGAATCATGAGGTCAGGAGATTGAGACCATCCTGGCTAACACGGTGAAACCCCGCCTCTATTAAAAATACAAAAAGTTAGCAGGGCATGGTGGTGGGCGCCTGTAGTCCCAGCTACTTGGGAGGCTGAGGCAGGAGAATGGTGTGAACCCGGCAGGCGGAGCTTGCAGTGAGCCGAGATCGCACCACTGCACTCCAACCTGGGGGACAGAGCGAGACTCCATCTCAAAAACAAAACAAAAAACAAACAAACAAAACACACACACACACAAAGAGAGGCTATGGGGAACTTTGCAATGGAAGATCTGGTTGCCGCCACCCAAACAGAAGTAGAAGATGAGTTATGATGTGTCATCTAATATGGTACTATAGCAAGTGCGCAGCACTGTTTACCCAGTAATATTGCCAAAGAACTGAGCAGATTAGTTTATTAAGCCTTAGATTTAACTTCCAGATTATAGGAAATTTAGGGAAAAGAGGCACAAGTTATATAATACTACAAGAAAGCAATAAGACAGGTCCAGATTATGTGACATTCTACCAGTTTCTTCACAAAGTCTATCACACAAAAACAAAGAGGGATAAACTGTTACAGATTAAAAGAATATTCAGATTTTGAATCTTATTTGAATGTGAATATGGACTGGGCATCAGATTATGTTAAGAACATAATCTTACTTTTATAAGATATAATAATTATAATTATGTAGAAAATGTCTTTATTTTTTGGAGATAATATTCAAAAGTTCTAAGAGTGAAATAACATGATATCAAGTATTTTCTTCCAAGAAATAAAGAGAAAAGAAAGGAAGGAAGAAAAAAGAAGGAGGAAAACAGGAAGAGAGAAAAAAAATCAATGTGGCAAATTTTTCATAATTGTTGCTTTTAGAAGGAAAAGTGTAATAGGATCTATTATTCTATTCTTTCTACTTTTGTGCATACTCACAAATAAGTATTTTCTAAAAATTAAATTCCTGCTCTCATGGAATTTACATCTGGTGGAAGGAGATAGACAATGAAAAATAAACATGATCAATACTTTAGTGTTTTAGTGCATAATAAGTGCTGTGCACTTTTTTTTTTTTTTTTTTTTTTTTTTTTGAGTCTCACTGTGTTGCCCAGGCTGGAGTGTAGTAGCACAATCTCGGCTCACTGCAACCTCAGCCTCCCAGGCTCAAGCGATTCTCATGCCTCAGCCTCCTGAGTAGCCGGAATCACAGGTGTGCACACCTGTGCCTGGCTAATTTTTGTATTTTTGTAGAGATGGGGTTTAGCTATGTTGCCCAGGCTGGTCTGGAACTCTTGGATTCAAGCAAGTCACCCATCTTGGCCTCCCAAAGTGCTGGGATTTCAGGCGTGAGCCACTGCACCCAGCTGGTGTTGTGCAAATTTAAACAGGATGATCAGAGTAGTCCTAGCCATGATAGGTTTTCCCTTTCTGCCTTTCTGACCAAGCGCTAAT